TCTTTTCAATATTGATCTCTCAATTTACTATCCGCCTTTAATAAAAATGCAATTTAACAATATGTATTTTGCTCACAATTTTAATTAAATTAATGTTTCATTTTATACATAATGCAAATTTTAAACAAAAACAAAGCACAAATAGTTATATTTTTATCAGATACAAAAAAGACACACACTCATACCCGGAGCACTATAACGAAATTCCTTGACGTTACCCGATGTCAAAAGCTTAATAATACATGTAACTTTTTTCAACACAGTAACTCAATATATTTCTGATGTCGCTTCAAACATAATCAAAAATGTGTTAAAACTGTTCAGATTTAATATGTAAAATAATATTTAACACTTCTTATCTCAAATCTTTCAAATCATCAAATCTTTTTCAGCGTAAAAAAGACTTAATTTACAGAAATATCGAAGATCACGTTACGAAATTCATTTTTACAGCACTGCAATCTCGGAATGGTGGTCTTCCTTCACGCATTACTTTTTATTTTGACTGTTTACAGCATTTATGGGTTTCTCTTTGTGTTTTTCCGATATCTACTCAGAATTTTATCACTGCTCTCTGCTCCACCTTTTCCAAAACGTCCCTTTTCTAACAATGCCGACCCTGCCTCAATAGATTCTAACATATATTTCTCAGCCATTTTTAAACGCTGAAAATTAAAATTTTGCAGGTTTGAAGTTTTAACTTTTGTCAAAATCATAATGTAGAAGCAATATGAATAAAGTGATAAATAACCATCACAAGTCCAATAATGAAGCAGTGATTGTAACTATATGTTTGAAATGGAATATAATTTCACATTTTTTAATTCAAATTTAGTAAAGGTTTATCAATACGCTAATAATAAATATCAATGACACCTTTTTTATTTAAATTTTAGCTTGTCCATGAACTTTTCGGACAACCATTGTTTATAAAACTATCTTTTTATTCTTGTATTTAAAAAGTAAAGCCTCTGCGTGGTGCTGTAGGCTTACACATGTACTATAATGAATTAATGAATAATTACGAGGAAGCTCGCTAAAGATTCTATCCCTCAGTTGCCCTGCATATCACCTGCTTAATTTTAAATGCCTGTTAAATCAATGTTAGGAAAAAATGTCCAAACAGCACCCCTACTTACACCACTTCCAAAAATTAATTAATTTTGTCCGTCTGTTAAAACAATTATTATACAAAGCAAAACTTATGGTATTTTTAGAAAAAAGTAAGAATTAAATAACATGAATACAAATATCAATTTTAATTTTTCCTGTAAAAGCAATTTTAGTTTCAGACTTATCCGAATTACCACGTCCCCCCAAACCAGTGGTTTTGAACCCGCGTCGTAAGGATCAGCACCTTATTTTACGAATCTAGTGCCCTGTTCACACGGAGAGTTTAGTTCGAATTAAATGTAAGTTATTGCGAATTAAATTTGAATGGCGTTCACACGGAGAATTTAATGCGAATAAGGTTTATTCGAATTAATTCACTGCGAATTAAATTACTTTGCATTAGCTCCGCGTGAAAGCTATGCGAAGCTAATTCGTATTAACTTTTGACGCATGCGTAAGGCCAGAATTTAGTCACAGGCCACATGTCGGTAGGTAGATTTAAGTATCTGCGCTATTTTTGGTTGACAAATAAAGAAAATTGGAAATTAATCACTTATATTATACTAGGGCTGTTCAATAAATAATGTCCTGAACTGTATGACATACAATGACATACAATACAGATATCATATGATATTAAACTTGACTTCCTCTCATTATTGAATCTTTACTGAATTTATAACAGTTTATGTGACCACTTTTCATCACATAGTTTCATCGTGAGAACCTGGGAAACAAGGGCTTTTCGAGACACTGCATTATAAATGAATGGTAAAGAATCAGTAAACTAGAGTGAAAATAAAGGCTACATAAAAGCTGCTGTAAAACTTGTTGAAAATCCCAAAGAAATATTCACTGAAATATGTGTCATTTACAGCAACCGATGCCTGTTTCATAGACAAATGAGCAGGTGGATTTCAATGAAAAAAAATTATATAATGGACATCAAAAATGGGTACCCTCATAGCCAACAAAATTTATAACAACTTATGTATTGTTTGTCAAATTTCAACAAATAATATTTGATGATGTATGATTGACTTTAAGACATATAGCAATTTTGGTAGACATCATATCGGGAGTAGTTTACACTGTTTTTAAGAAACGTTTGACAGAAAAAAAGCTTGGTACTCAAAGGTCATCCTATATTTTGAAAAATGAGTGAAAAAGACAGCGTGTACGAAAGTCTTAACAATTATTTTAAAATATCAGTAATTGTAGTTATCCACGTTTGTTTTATATTCAAACAGATATTGGAACACGAATCTATTTCTTAAAATCATCAAAACAATATTTACTATAAGATGTACTTCATAAAAACGGCGAAAGTCTGACAAAAGCAAAGGTATGGAAGAACACAAAGACAGATTTATATGCAATTTTTCTTAAATATTAGTGGTATTGTTGTTCAAATTCGTATTCAGGGAGACAGTTTAATATCTGAAGGAGTCTGGAAAGCAATTTTTTTGCAAAAAGATCGAAAGGTTTATTAGAGGAAGGTCCAAGAATCAGGAATTCACTACATTGAATTTCTTCATGACAGCGTCCAAACCCGCATGCCCTGAAGAGTAAAAGGGTTTTTGGAATAAACAGAAAGTTTATGTTTATTCACATTAACAACCTTTTGACTTGTTTCTATTTCCAAACTTTAAAAAACACCTTTTTGAAGGAAAAAAACAAGTCCAGGAAATCATTGGATCTGCCATTTTCAAGTATACTAAGGGTCATACAAAAAAATGATTCTAAAAACAATCGGAAATTGGATAAAAATGTTACAGACATGTGTTTGAATTAAAAGAGATTAATAAGTAAAATCATGAAGACCAAATCATTGAAAAGCATCGTTTGCTTCTTTCTGAGCACCAAGGACATTATTTATTGAACAGCCCTCGTACATGTACAGTCACTATAAATATTTATGTAATGTCAAATGGATCTACTCTGCATATATGACATGATTTACAAATGACGTTTTACATGTAATAGCCTTACTTACTAGTCGTATTGTAGAAATAAATTTCAAATTTGCATTAGTTTACGTCGCTTTAGCTGTCGTGTGAACACAATTGAATTCGCATTAGTTCGATTAACTTACTGCGAATTACTAGTAAACTCTCCGTGTGAACAGAGCATAGAGTAGCTAGACGCTTTAACCATTGCCCCACGCTGATGAAACCTTGTTATAGCATGATATCACTCGTCCTAGTGCAAGTTTCCTGTTGAAGATTCTACACAAAGGTTCATTATATTAAAAAAAAACTTGAACTACCGGCCAGAGAGCTGGTATGAGTGAAATTTCGTTATCACAAAGAATAAATGCTCCCATATCTATTTCTTAGTATTTTCTCTACCCGGTGCAAAAGTTAATGAGTGATTGATATGAGGCATATACATTGTGCCTCTCTGTGCCATCAAGTAGTTCGTGAGAAAAATCAGCAACTTTTTCAGAAGTATATGGAAAACATGCCAAAGAATGGACAAACCTTGCCCAGATTGCAACAACAAAATATCTGAAACCAAGTGGATCTTTCCATTTTGAATGACTCCTTTTAAAATGACTATTCCTCTTTGGGGTATTTTCAGTGTTACGTTGCTGGTTCACATAAGATATTTTTTCTCGTCTTATCAGTTTTCTAGATGTTGCAGGTTTTGAGCAGCATGCCTTTGAATGTGTCTACGCTTATGACATTTGTTGAACATTGTCTTTGAAACGATATTCCCGTTCATCTTATAGTCAAAGTATATACTAATGCATCAGTAAATACATTTCAAATACCACCACAACAATACATGCACGTTAAAAGATTGTACAGGAGAACAATATTCATTATGTAGGACCATTATTTTGCTTAATATACTCGTGTGACAACAAAACACACTAAGTCTGGGGCAAAATTAGCCAAATTAATTCAGGCCAATGTTTCTTGACATTAACAAACATTGTCCTTAAATTGACTGATTATATGTTATGACAAAATTAACGTAGAACAAATGTATCAATAATTAACAAATGTAGGGGCAATATATGCGTAATAATTGGGGGAAATATTTTAATATAAAAAAATCGCTGGTTCTTTAACAAAAATAAAATATTGCCGCCAGATGAAAGATGCATGTCAGGATTATCAAGAAGACGCCCATTCTAGATAATTTAATATACTTTTTAAGAATATGAAAATGAGTGAAGGGTTCATAAAACTGGTAAAATAAAGAGATGCAAACAAGAAAATACTTTCACCCTAACATTCCTATTTATTTTAACTCTCCTTCTCCCGACCGTTAAATTTCCATCATAAAATTCAATAAAATAAAAACAAAAAATGGCACATTTATTATGCTGTAGTCGATTATGATTTACTTCTTTTATAGATTACTAATTATTGGACGTCATTAATACATATTTTTGATAGTTAATTTTTTTATCAAAGTATTCTTTTTTTTTCTTTTCGGAATGCAATGAATTGAATAAATCAATATATGTAAACAAAACAATATATAGTTTAATTTTGTCTCCAAATGTTTACTTTCAAACTTATAATGTATTTTTGTTTGAAAATTTAATTTAATAGTAAATTAAGAAAAAAAAAGAATATTTATTTTGATCTTTTTTTTTAAACAGAAAGTTAATTTCGGCGAAATGCAAAATCGATATTTAAATATCTCCTGTGCCCATTAAAGCAATTCTATTCTTATTTTCAAAAAATCGTTTAAATCGCCCAAAGTACGCGATGACTTGGGTTGATGCTTTGCATTGTACAGAATGACGAGCATATCTTTTGATCTACTGACACGACAGGTTAATGGCCGCTATATGTTGCCGTTTGACACCATTTCAGCAGTAACATGTCTTTGAGATTTATTTGATTTTTTGAAAGTTATAGCGAACAAAAATATGCATCATTCTAGATTTTTTTCCCTCTAAAAATTTAATATCGTGAGAGGAGCTGGATGAGATTGGGTGAGTTTTTTGTGCACGAAAGGGTCAAATTCTAACGGCAGGAGTAAATAGAACAATGTTGGAGGTGAATTCGTCAACAGGAAGGCATGGCGGGGAGGTAAATATTTTTCCTTTTATGTTCCGTTCGAAGGAATGATCCATAAAATAAAATTGTTTATTTCGAATTAGGATTTTATAAATGGAATGAAAATATATAAAAAAAATTATGTTCAGGACTAATGAACCTCTAAATTCCACTTTTTAAAAGCACTTTTAGATTTTTAGAAGTTTTACAATTTTTTGCTGGAAAGACGTTAAGTCAGACCTTGGGGAAAAATTAAGAGAACAATACTATTTTTTATTTTCATGATTTCTAGAGTAAGCTACGACGGCGAATTCGTGCCATATTGACTATGCATAAAAAAAATTAAAAATCGTTTGTACGATTTTTTAAACCGTTTGAACGATTTATAAAATGGTTTAAACGATCTAGAAAATCGTTTGTACGATTTTAAAAATCGTTTGTACGATTTAGAAAATTGTTTTAACGATTTAGAAAATCGTTTGAACGATTTAGTAAAATGGTTTAAACGATTAAGAAAATCGTTTGTACGATTTTTTAAAACGATTTTGGAAATCTCTTGTACGATTTTAAAAATCGTTTATACTATTTTAAAAATCGTTTGTTCGATTTTTTAAATCACATCTCATTAACAAGAAAAATATTAGACCTGCTAGTATTCCCCGTGATTTCAATGTAAATATGGATGCTTAAGTTATATATTTTTTTTATTTGTTACATCATAATAAAAATGGCTAACTGCGATATAAAGCCTGTCGCCTTCATAAAAAAACAACTCTATTTTCAAAGTAGAAAATATTAAGACTCGAAAAAAGCAAACTTAAAATGTTGATTATATAAAGGAAAGATTAAATTATAAATATGCTGTATTATAAATATCATAGGCGTCGGAACCGGGGGGGGGGGGGGCTAGTGGGGGCCCACTTTTTTGCCAAAATAGACATTATATAGGCATTCATCTTCGCTAGTCAAGGGTTTCTACTCTCCCCATGAACGAAAATTGGGATTTACATGTACCTTTTTTTTGGTTGGTTTAGCCCCCCACCCACCCCCCATTCTTTCAATTTACTTCCGACGCCCATGAATATGCTTGTACCTATATTTTTTTTAAATGACATGTAAGATGGTAACGATAGTGTTTAATTATTTGATTAATTGTTCTTACATGTAAGTACATGTAAAAATTACACAAATTCGACCGGAATTTCTCAAACGGGTGCGCGCAATGGGGGCGCTGAGCAAACGATAATTACTACATGTGCATAATATCTCTCCCAAAGCTATGGAAAAATCATTTATTATGTTAATGGCTCAGATCAAGTCGAACATTAACTCTTCTTTATAAATAACTCATTTAAAAAAGATTAATCTGTTCTAAGTATCAAAAGAATCAGTTGGTTTTACATTGCGTTCATACACAATTTTATTGTACATATATTTTAAACGTCAAATGACGTCTTAGTGCATTTTTGGTGTTTTACTCTAAAAAGATCCAATTTTCAACAACAAATTTCTCTGTAACGTATGCATGTACCTTAAAAAGTTTCAATAAAAAACGTAGGGAAAATTTCAGACTTTTTGGTTATGGCATGTTTTAAAGATTTATTTCGTGTCGAAATTTAGTTAAAGGCCACAGAATGTAGCACAAAATCAAGTCATTTATGCCTATTTTATCAACTTCCTAGTAGGATATGCAATATTGACTTCAAGTTTACGATAATTTCTTAGCATCATATAGAAAAACTTTGTGTACATGCAGCATAAATGTTCAGTTTCTTCTCTAGTTTACGAAAATATCAATTGATTTATTGTATCTCAATTATTTACCAAACACCAGCAACTGTTTCGTTGCAGCAACTGTTCCTTTGGCACGTGCTCGGCACTTAAAGTGAAAGTTGCGGTTCCTTCGGATGAGACCTTAAAATCGAGGTCCCGTGTCACGGCAAGCGTTGGCATGATAAAGTTTCCTTACTGCTCAATGGCCGTTAGTGACAGTAAATGCCCATGGTCAAAATTTGATGCCTTTCAATTCGTCGGTATATGTAGATGGGGAAATCTATTTCTGAGTGAAACATTAAAATTTTGCAATAAATCAATTCAATACATGCATGTGGCCTTTTCCCCAAGGAGCAAAAAACCGGGTATTTGAGACCAGATACTTTTCTGGTATGATTCTGATAACATCAAATCATTATTATTATCATTTCACTGACAAAAATGAGATACTCTTTAGAGCAATATTCTTCCTTATCTCCCCTCGACCAACGTTTTATAAATGTAAATGTTTGTAACGTCATTTGTAATTCAATGAGCAGCATGGTACTGAATTTAAATTTCATGCATATGTTTTGTTGAAATCGTAACAATTCTTAAGATGTCCTCTTCTCAAAATTCCAATTTTTGTTACCATGGCAACAATTCTTATTGAATAAAAGCACTTAAATAAAGAATTTTGTATGTAAGTGTTTTCTACATTTGTACCATTTTTTTTAAATCAATAAAAAACTGTAAGAGGGAAAACTATTTGAAAATTGCTTACGACAATCATGCAGCTGTAATGGTACAAGGCCTTACCTTGCTTACGTATGGCGGACATTATCTAATTGTCAAACCCTCTCTTTCAAATAAAATTCACCAGCATAACTTTAAACTAATTGACGATATGCTTTGTTTTAATGGTATCACTAAATCCTCTGTTATGGAAGTGTTATTTGTAAATTTGTTTGTACTTTTGGGAAGTCTAAAAGGAGAAAAACGAAAATTTTGGCAATTATGGGTCTTATTCGTTGCCATGGCAACCATGACGTCATTTTACTCTACATAATCAAATAGTTTAGAATTTTACCTTTCAGAAAAACAGATTAAGACGAAGATTGTACACTACAAAGGTCCAAATTACGACAAGTGATCATAGAAACATTGTGAATGTAATTGTGATATGATTGTTTACTAATTATAACATTACAACAATACTCACACAGTTTTATTTACTAGATGCAATTTATTATAAGTATTTCTGTACCTGTTACAGTCAGCAGCGAAGGGAATTCTATATACAACAGCTTTATCAGGTTTCTTATCCCGTATGCTTCTGTTCCGAATCAATAAAAAAATCGTTCAAACGATATTTTAAATCGTACAAACAATTTTCTAAATCGTTCAAACGATTAAACAAATCGTACAAACGATTTTCTTAATCGTTCAAACGATTTAACAAATTGTACAAACGATTTTCTATATCGTTTAAACGATTTAACAAATCGAACAGACGATTATCTAAATCGTTAAAACGATTTTCTAAATCGTTCAAACGATTTGAAAATCATACAAACGATTTTAAAAAAAATCTCTACATTGTCAATATGGCACGAATACACCGTCGTAGTAAGCAGATTAAAAATACGAGATATAAGACGGTCGTGGATTAGAAAGTAGCACAAAATTTCTCAGATACGAAACATTTCAATTAACATTACTGCTAGTCTTCTAGCGAGGCTCCGACAAGACAAAAAATATAGATTGTTAATGCGATCATGCGTTGACATTGGCGTCGAAAGCAATTTGAATGTGGGGGCTAATTGGAAAAGAAATACTAGTAAATCAATGTTCAACCTGAGGAAAACTTGATCAAGAATAGTAAATTGTCCAAAGGCGAAAAATTTATTTTGTAGGGGGTCGACATTCTTTCAATACCATTGTTTTACAACTAACGTAACCCTTCTTTGACTACACTGCAACATGTGTCTGTGAAAATGGGGTTGGGGACTAAACCTACACCCCGATGTTAAATGCAATATTATTTCAATCTTTGCAAGATAAAGTGGGCCCCCGGTTCCGATGCTTATGGTTGAAGAAACCAGAGAAAATATCATCAAATTTTCTCTGACAAATAATGTGCATCATATATCTCGTGGCGCAATGGCAGAATCGTCTGCTGTAGAATTGCGGACTAAGTATCGATTTAAAATCTGTGGAGATATAATATCAGATTTCGGCACAGAAAATGCCCTCACTGCTCAATGGCCTTGAGTTGAGTACCGAGTATATGTGTAAATTCGCACCCAACATCCGGCAAGTGCTGGCGTCCCTATACAGTTGAAATATTCTTTAGAATGAAAATAAACAACAAACAAACATTTTCCCTATGTTATTAATTTCTTTTTTTTCTTGTTTAAGGTACAAGAAGTACAGAGGACATGGGAAAACATCAGAGAAAACGTGGACAGTACACCTACCATGGTGTTCTCCGTGATCGGGGATTCTGACAGCTTCGTCCCTAAACCCTGGGCTAAAACCGTCTTTCAAACAGCTTTAATAGAAGCGGCTAAAAGCGGCGGAGGTAATTGTGCTTATTGTTACTTTGTGACAAAGTACTTTGTTAGGACTGTTCCAGCCATAAATGTGTGGTATATATAATTTAAAAAAATCACTGCCGTAAATTAAAAAATGCCTAAATATTATATTAAAGGGTATTGCAAACCGCTCAAATATGCATCCACACACAAGAGAAAAGGCATTGTTCACAGAGGTTCTTTAATCGTTAACTACTTAAGATTATGAATATGGCTAGTTATTTACATGGCAAAACGATTTTCATACGTTTTTAAATTTGTTCAATACGTGTGTAAAAGGTTGTCAGGTATATGAGAGAGTCGACTGGGGAAAAAGCAGACAGGGTGATTTATTGTGCAGTTCCTTTAAACTGTTTTGTCTGTTCGTCGGCAATCAATCTCTTTATAACGGATGACACGTGTTCTTTTTAAACACCTCAATATTTAATTGCTTTTAACATGTGCCGCAATGAAGTTAATTTGTCAGAGACAAATGTTTACTTCTAAATTCATTTTTAAAAATTATGTATCTTATAACTGTGTTTTCGATCAAAGTGTGTGTTGTCGACCCCCGAAATAAAATCTTAGTCCTAGCTTATTCATGCAAACGACCTATTTTTGCGTCGGATAAAACACACATTGCTCTCGAACCCACTATATAGAGGTTTAATATAATGTGACTGGTTTCATGTTTTAATAAAGGTTATAAATTAAAAATTGAATTCTCATAGAGTCATGGATACTTTACCGTGGTCATAATTTCGGAGTCTCTGAAATCATACGTGAAGCCTACGGAAATTACGGGGATATGGAGTTTGGAACAGATAGCAAGAAAGTGGAACTGAATGAAAAAAAGAGACATATAAAGCTAATAAGCATTGCAGGCAAAGAGGTTTGTCTGAAGATATCGTCCTTTTGTTTAATCAGCTTTTTATATCTTTATCAACAATAAACAAATAAACAAATAATAAAAATAAAAACCAAAAAATATACTAATGCAGCTTCAAAAATGTTTTATCATTAGTCATTAGTTAATCCCAAGTTCGGTGTTGCCCGTTAAACATAACTCATATAGGTTTTAGCATTATTGCAATTCTATTTCACTTGTCTTTTTATACTTTAGTCTCATGAAGGAATGCAGGAGTTTGAGGCAGAGGATAAAACACCGGAGTATGGAATCAATTTTGGCGCGGGGGAGGATTTCCTTATGGAGTTTGAGAAATATGTTTCAGAACAAGAAGTATCATTTTTTAGCCAAAAAATCGATTTTAGTAAGTCATACCAAATAAAATTTCTACTAAAAAAATTTAGTTTTCTCTTTACTCGTATGTTATTCGAATATTGTTTGACCAAAATGATAATTTATTTAAGAAATAATGACAACTAAGAATGCAATGGTTTCAAAATGAATTATACACAAGTATACAATCAATTTATCTCGTTTTTATTTAGAAATGCCTGTTCCTATTGCAATCTTAGTTTGTGAAGGTGACATTGAGACTATTGCACATACAGCAGGGGCACTGATAAACAAACTACCTGTCATCATAATGAAAGGATCGGGGAAAGCTGCCGATTTAATACTAGATTATCTAGAGAAGTAATTACAGAATATACAGTTTTAAGATTCTTTTTTTGTTCTTTGTTGTTTTTCAAGATTATAGGTAGAATTAGTGGAAATGGTCATATAAAATTGTAATCGACTCCCCTTTATGTTGCATACTACAATGATTTATGAAAAAAAAATATTGTATATAACACACAGTTTTTATCTTAACCATGTGCATTATCACTTTTTATGAATTTTCCTTTGATCAATGAAAATAATTTTTATATAAATCTTATAAATGTATGTTTATATTAAAATATTTTTCGTGTTTTCGTAACAGAAAAGAGTTATGTAATATTGTACTGCAACTCTGTAGCTCTTTACATCTCTAAAAATATTCTTTTAATCATTATTTCTAAAATATCGATGACACACTCATCTTAATTTTTCTTTCTGTTTTTTTTTTTGTAGCAATGATTTGCTGAGAAAGAAAGCCAGCTTGTTGTTTGGAATACGATTTGACAGCAATAACTACGAGAAATTGAAAGGCTACCTAGACACAATTAAACAAAAGGAAGATCTGGTAAGATTTTGATAATTAAAATATTATAGACAAAAGAATTTAGTTTAAAAATTGTAAGTATGACAAAAAAGTTTGACATGAATTCAATTACAAAATTTATTACTTCAGATTAATATCTATTAGTTATTACAATTTTCAAATTTGACAACGCTATTCATTATTTTTCATTACCACTCAAAGAAATATGTGAATATCTATATAAAAATACATATATATCCCGACAAGACCTATAACTCAAATGTTCCCTGTCATAAAGCCATTAGTGAATAAATGATAACTAGTGTAGAATGACTATAAATTATTGATTACTTAATTAATGATTATGGCTAATTACAGATAGGTGTATTTGACGTGAACACTGACGATCCTCTGATGCTGTCTAACATTGTGGGAGAGGCCGTCGTCAGCTGCTGGGCCATGGAGAAAATTCTAACCGAGGAAAATCAAAATCAAAGTATTTACATTCAAAACTCATCTCTTTTTTCTACTGCTTGAAAGATTGATAAAAATGTTATAAATTTACCAACTATAGATTAAGAGCATCAAGATATTATAATTTAAGAGCACTAAAAATATAAAAAGAAAAGCCAAGAAAAAACGAATATTTTTTTCCGGAATATGAGTGCACCCACAGAGCCGGTTTAAAATAACATTACATTTACATGTATGGTCAATCATCATAACAATTTGAAAAATCAATACAACATATACTAAAGTTAACAAGAAGAAAATGTTCCAATGAATGGAACTTATTTGATAAAATGATTATATGCACTATTAAGAATATATAAAACATTTTCATTAGAACACCTTTTCATAGCATACATTCACTTTGTATGTATGTGGCGCACTAGAGAGAGCGTCTGCTCTAGAGTAGCAGAGAAAGGAGTCAATCCTTATGTCGCGGGACGTGGATACCGGTCCTTTGGTTAAGACCGTATAAACCGAGGTTTCGTGTCACAGTAGGTGTTGAAACGAAAAAGATCCCTCCCTGCTCAATGGCCATGTGTGCCAAGCATAGGACAAAATTTGCAGCTCTCCACCGGCAAGTGATGGCGTCTTCATATGAGTGAAAATTCTCGAGACAAAAGTCAAACAATATACAAACAAACATTTTAACTCATCATACATTGTGTCCCTTTATACTTGCTATTGTTTCCTCAGGTAAAAATGTTGATGTCAATATGCGACCTAAGACAGCAATTCCTAATTCACAAAAGAATGGGATTACAATAACTGGTTCTTCACTTGCCTGGAAATTATTGAGAAGGAACTCTGTCCGACCTGCCGAGGATATAATGAATCAGTTACTGAAAGACTATAAAGAAGGGTCCAGAGTTTATGTTTTGAATCCAAAATATACGTCACCTGCATCCCTGCCTCTGTATTTCTATTTTGGATACCAAATTGTACAAGAATCTAAGTTACTAAAACAATGTGGAAATGTGAGTAAACATCCAATATCGGTTATTTTTCTGTAGAGTTGTTAATTTAATTTTACGATCTTAATAACAAATATTGGTAATTTTCTTATAAAAATGCATAATAAAAACGCACATCTAAAATGTAAAATATACATGTAAAAAAATACTATCTCGGTATATTAGAATAGAAAATGAGTTAATAATCAAGGACCAAGTTTATCACTGCGATATAATTTGTACCAGCCAGATGATACAGTGTATAACTACAATAATATATTTTTTAAAAAGAGAGATAATGTTACTCTTCTGAAAGGAACAGACTAAACTTTTAGATTAGTTTTAATTATGAATGACATTTTAGTAGGTAGATGAGGCAATGGAAACTAAGCAATTTTTAAATGATGATCTTTCTACATATTAAAATCGGATTTCCCTTTGCATATGAATCTGATTGTGTTCGTTTTTCCTGAAAACATATAATTAGTTTACTTACATGTGACTCATATTGTATTCCAGATCCTATTGTTTGAAGCACTGAAGGCAAATAGATGTGACTATGTCAGAGTTCTTCTTGATCAGGGTGTGAAATTGAAACTCGAAAATTTGCCAGAATTGTATGAGCAGGTAAGTAGGTATCAAATACGTACCTGTACAAATATTTTGAGTGTTAACAAGTTACAAGGATTTGAAGAAAGTCAATCCCAGTAATTACTGAGTAAAATACGGATAAATTATTAGTTAAAAAATATTTAAGCATTAAGTTTCTGATATTCAAATAAGCTTCAATAAATATAAACACAACTTACAAAAAAATGCGTATCAAATATTTATTGCAAGAAACCTGTTTTTGCATTTAAATAGAGAAGGTTAGAATAAAATATACGCTATAACAATTTCAGACCGTGTCTTGCAAGGATTGTAAATTCAAAGTGGATGACTGCCTTCACATGCAGTGGATATTGAAGGTATGTTGATTTTAAGATTAATGGATTTATTGATGCAAAATCATTAAGTGATATTTTGGCTTTATACCATGATGTTATTAATGTTACTTATATCAATATTTTTCCATCTAGCAAATCGAAGGAGAGCATGCAAAGAATCTATGTCATAAACACAGATCCTACATTAAAAAACTAAAAGAAACAACAGATACGAAAAAAATTGAAAAATACACAGAAAAGACAACGAAGCTTCATACATCAGTGGCAGATGCAGCAAAAGGATTGTGTAGGAAAATTCTAAGATATAAAGGTACTTCCATCCTTTGATACGCACATAATATGTAGGCTATATATGGTAGGGAAGCCAAAATATTTGGTAAAATTTGTTAAAGAAGTATTGCAAATTAAATATAGACATCGCTACTACTACATTAAAACTAATATATTTTAGACGATACTCTACAATATGTTGAATCATTGTAAAACTGGTAGTAGTCACAATTTGTTATTTTTTTTTATTTTACACCATACAAACTATTTTTCTGTCCCTTTTGGACTAAAATAAATGATAAAACTCACATATACAAGAATATGAAAAATATGCAGACAATTTCAATTTGCTTTAGGGGCAATTGATGCCTGAATTCACTCCTTTAATTGTAAAACCAGTATTTTCATTGTCTACAAATTTTTCATGTTTATATAATAATGACAAACGTAGAGGTCGATGAGTCGACAGGGGAAGCTTGAACCTCTATGACACGTGATCAAACCTTATTTCAAAGATTTGTCAACATATACTAGTTATCTATCATATTAGAATCTTATTGTGATTGATAAATGAACATTTCCAAAAAGGGTTTTAAATGGTTTTAAATAGAATTTTACATCATTGCTTTTTAAACATTGTTTCGAAGAAGAATAATAATTTCAGATTACATCTTCGCTGAATTTTCATTTTTAAAAAGCAATATTTCCTTTTTTTAAACAAAAAGATATGAAGAAAGAGATAACAATATAGTTTTATTTAAATGGATAACAAATTAAATATTTCAGTTAATAAATAATGTTTAAATGTTTACGTAATTAACTTTTTTTAGAAACAGAAGATGAATCAACTGAAAATGGCGGCGATAAAAACTCAGATGCTAAAATCTCCGACATTTTATTATGGGCCTTGTTTGCAAACAGAAGGGAGCTTGCGGAAATTTGCTGGCTGCGAAGTGAAAATCATCTATGTAAATATTTTTTGGTTGTAATTCAATCAATATCCAATTTCCTGTAGAGGTTTAAATCTGTAAATATGGACTTTATTTACCTTTGAATATTTAGTAACAGGATTGGTTTGCTCCGCTGTTCTCCAGAAGTTGTCAAACAAAGCCGGGAATGTGAAGGAACAAATATTATCAAACGATCTACTTGAACATTCTAAGTAAGATGAAATAAAAGAAATATTCAGTTATACAATGTAAGACAAACTAAACGGTATCAACATCATTTCTTGTTCTTTAATATCATGCGTCAAATCCTAAAGTGTGGCTAAATAAATAGAAATTCACAATATGCTGCCTACAAGTACGGCATAAACAAGTAAAGTTATCAATTCAATTCTTTTTTTCTTGTTTTAAGTGATCGAACCTTTTAAAGTATAAAAATAGTAGAAATATATCAAGGTCCGAAATAAGTTTTTAACGCAAGTGCGCATTCGTGCTCAACTTTGCTAAGTCATATTATAACAGTTGTAGAAAAAATTACCTGTAGGTACTCCAAATTTTCGCGCACACATTGTAATGTTTCTTGTGACTTAACATTTCTGACATTGCAACCCTGTTCAACTTTCACTACTTTTTTCTTACTTTGATATGAATTATTCGCATACAAGATAAGTATATGAATGCTTAACTTGAACATGTTATAAGAAATATTCTGTCTTGCTCTAAGGGAAGTGTTGAAAGGGAATTATTTAAATTGTCTTCTATGTAAAACGTTTGATAACCATTTCCTATCTGTGTTTTCTTTCTCCAAAAATACCTATAAAACAAGTTGTCAGTAGGTTATAAATTTACATACTGTGAAATCACTAATTTTCGTGGGAGTTTAATTTTTGTGGTTTTCGAGGTATGAAGTAACCCACGAATTTATGTCCACCACGAAATGTATTTTTTAACATACATTACTACTGAAATATTCTTTATTAATGAAATCAAATACCCATAAACCGCAATATTTTTCTCATACCACGAAAATTTGACTCTTGAAAATATGTGATTTTACTGTAACAATTAACTTGGAGAGAAATAAAGCAAGTGCTTTTGTTGAAAGAATGTGTAAATTTTCATAGGATATTTGAGCAACGTTGCATAGCCATAATGGACCGTATGTATGAAGAAAATACGAAGCACGCCATAGATCTGATGGATGACGAGGCTACTATATGGGGAATACACTCAAGTCCTCTGACGTTCGCCTATGAAAACTTTATGTATGATGTAGTGGCTCACACCTGTTCCCAGAAAAACATGAACAAACAGTGGTACAACAACCTGGCTCCTGACCTGAAACCATTCCTAAAGGTAAAGTTTGTACAATTCCCATATTCTTCTTTGCAATTTGCTGTTTTTAGAAGAAGCCTTTTCCATGTTTTCATACCTATTTCTTTATTTTCTAGTCTGCATTCCGGAAACCCAAAAAGTTTTTCACAGCTCCTCTTACGAAATTTGTTTATAATTATGTAAGTATCACAGACTAATTCAGAAATAATCTTCAAATAGGTATGTTCTACAATTATCATTATGTATGAAACTACTTATTTCAAGAGAATTTGTATTGCATGCTCTAGAAATTCTTTATACAGGGTAATATTCGCCCTTTCGCCCTTATCAAAAGTGGGCGAATTTAAAACGAGGCGAATTCAAAGAACGCAGTATAAATTATTTAACAGAACTGGGACCGGGCGAATTCAAAAAGGGGCGGATTTGTAAGCAATTGTAAAAGGGCGAAAACACCTCGGGGCAAAATTAACCCTGTATACAGTATTCTCACCATTGTATATCCACTTCTCATTTAATGTTTTGTAATCTTTTCTTGAATTATATTTATAATTGAAACAAATAATTTTGATATGTTCAATATGCTTTGTGAAGATGCATTTGAAAATTGTTTATATTTTAAGATATTCTTTCTTTCTCATATGGTTTGTCTCTCTCCATATATATGTACTAAGGATAAAAGAATTGAAAGTTTAATATATAAGAGTCAAATGTTGAATTAAATTTAAACATTGAAAAAAAATAACATCTGTTTTTTATACAATCCACTATGATATTTTTTTATCTGTAGTCCAATATGCCTATATATGTTATTGTCTTCCTACAGATCATGTTTTTCTCCATGTTGGTGATGTACAGCGCCTTTGTTCTCACGAGCATTAGTACAAAGTACTACGTCCAAGATATAGCCAGAGTGTTTGAATACTATGTGTATTTCTGGGGTGCAGGTGATTTCATAGAGGAACTTATCAGTTGTTTTGTACGTAATTAACATCATTTTAATTTAAACATCCAAAACAAAGAAATGTCCATTTTATAAGCTCAAATGTACCGACATTTCGACTGAACTCTTTTTATTTTGCCGATATGTCTGTATGTTTATCTGTTGTCAGTTTGTCTGTTATCTGTTTGTACCTTAACTTTTATCACTTGATTTATATACTTCTGCAAAGTCAGGAACCCCTTACGTAATAATTACTCTCATGCAAAACTGATGAAAGCATATCTGTTTTCGGATTTTTAGGGCTGTCTTGAATCAAGAGGCCGATCACATCGAGGTTACTACTCAAGAATGAAGAGATATCTGTACGACTTCTGGAATGTGGTCGACTTATTGTCGTACGCCTTACTGATCACAGCTTTATTTGTACGTCATTTCCATCCCTCAGAGACCTTCACGATCGCAAGGAGAATGTTCTCTCTCTCCCTTCTGGTCATGTACCTGAGGTTCCTAGAAGTTTTTCTCATCCACAGGAGAATGGGGCCAACGCTTATCATGATCAAAGAAATGGTAATATAATAATTTTTACCAAATTTAAACAGACAAAGCCATTGGAATTTTATAAGAACGAAAGATGTTCTATTGTGCATTCATTATTTGCTTATAAATAACAGTCTAAATTGTATTAATTTACAGTTTTTGAAAAACACAATTATTTTTTTTCAGCACTAATCTTCAATTTTAACGGGTAAAAAGATATAAATTTCTTTTCTTTAACAGTGTGGGATATAACATTTTTGTAAAATGTTTACCCACGCTTTAATAATGTATTCTTCTCTACATACCACAAGAAACCACTTATAGACGCTTTTGTAGGAAGCAAAGTAATCAGGAAATTATTTTGTATATCCGTTTTAATATTCCTTTTTCAGATCCTCCAAAAATTATTAAAGTCAAATCTAGTTTATCTCTTGTTTTTCTATTCTTTACTTAAATTCGAAATCTTTTTTTGTTTTGTGTACATCTTTTTTGAAGTAATATGTAAAGATACATGTACTAGCAATAGCTCTTTTAAATATAAGAATAGTAATCTTTGAGTTTAAAAGGAAAAAAAATTAAAATCTTGAAATCGTCATAAAAATATTTTACTTTAAAAAAGATTATGATTTATGAAATGAAATCGAGATTGACTAGAAAAAAGTAATAAATTACTAGTTAAATAGTGGTGAAAATACTTTTTTAAGCTGAAGGACCTATTTAGTTTCCTGTTCCTAGCGATGTTTGTCGTTTTTGGAGTTGGTATTTACTACCATGCCAATCTATGGCCGGATCATCAGACAATCTGGAGCGGTGATTGGACCAATTGGAGAATTTGGACAATTATTTACTACCCTTATTGGCAGCTATATGGAGAATCATTTAGTGATTTCCTTCAAGGTTGTATGATTCTGATATCATTGGTCATGAATTTAGCTACACAATAACATAGTTTATACAGAATGACCATTGTCCATATCTCCATATATTAATGGAAAACTAGGTTTCTTCTTCCTCTCTTTCATACGTGTATGTGAATTTGGTCTCGATATTAGAATACTTCATTTTTTTCTTAATAAATTTGTCTAAGGAAATAAATTTTATTTTCAAAATTATCCCGAAACAGTGGAAGTTACTAATTGATATATTCAAACAAATCGGAGAATGTTTTGAGGTTTATTACATTTATTTCAGAATTAAGGCACATCTATGTTCCCATAAGTGATTAAAGCTTAATTAGATTGATTAAAGTCCATTTGCATCATTTTTCATTTTGGTTCACATATCACATTGTAGAGGTTACAGTCTTCAAGCGACAGTTATTATTTTTATCTTAACAGACGGAAATTATTTAAATTAATGCGTATTACCTTTTATGACCATAACTGAATCAAAGTACTGAAAGTACTGAAAAGCGGTTAGCATGCTTTCATCGAATATGTACAGTGTACAATAACAAAAAATGCATTGAATGATGATAAGCATGCATATCTTTTTCCAATGTCATCAGCGAAGAAGCAGACACACTGAATTTTGTAGTACTTAACTAAATGGTAAAACCAATAACATCCCAGACTGATGTCACAAATGTTTGTTTCAAAATATCAACCTGAGATTTTCAGTTTGAAAGACAGGAAGTTCAATTTAAAAAATTTCTCCCTAATTGTCTACATTGGTGGTGCCCAAAAGTGCACAGAACGAAAAAAAAATTATGTTGATCTTGCAAATTTAATTGGCTTTCATGCTCTATTGATTCTGAAATTAGGTAACTGTAAAGGCTACTATAGCAAACAACTCAAAAAGAAAATAAAATGATAATTCAAATTTTTTAGATTAATTGGTTTGGAGTACTGTACATAGGTCTTTAGCTGGCTAGTCTGAGAAAAACGGATGGACGAGCAGAGAATTAATTAATTTCAGAGAGCTTCAGTTTCGTAGGCTCACTGCGGGTCAGCAGGTGTGACCTGTCATTGAGGATGCTTACTTCTCCTAGGCACCGGAACTTTCAAGGATCTGTTTTTCTTTTGAGACCGATCACTGTTCATTCTGTATTTTGATACAGATACTGAGTACATCTGTTTATTAATATTATGAACTATTTCTCTCACAGGAAGAAAAAGTAAACAAGATAATAAAGTTTTAAGAAATGTATATTATTGACTTTTCATACAATTAAATGTTCGAATAAGTACTGTAAATGGTATATGACAATTATTTAAAAAAAGAGTCTTGCACGATATGTATAAACGAACATATACTGAGTATTTGGCAAATATTTTTCATGAAATATTGTATTAAAAAAAACGTGTGAAAAGGAAAGTTGTTGTTTAATCCATCAATACTAGTATTTTAAAAATTCAAAGGTTCACTAAAAGTCAGTGTATAACAAACAATTTAATTGTCCATTGCAAGAATTACCTAGGTATCATTGTCAATTTCTTCAATATGTCGCATAAGCAATACTTTTTTTTATACTAAAAACAAGTATGCGAATTTCTATCAATATGCCTGTAAGCATCTGTATTTTAATTTTTATTTCTTCTCAAAGGCTCAAAATGATAATAAGCAAATTGGACAAACTCAAATTTAAAAAGTATTTTTACAACTTATACCTTGCACAGGAATTTAGCAAACTTTCAAAAATAATCATTCATTAGATATAATTTTCAATTTGTGCTGATTGTCAAGATTTTTCATGCCTCTTTTTTCTGTGCATATTTTATATTGGGTGATTTTTAGAAAAGGATCGAATGCCGATTAAATTTTTTTCTCCATTTTTTTAAAATTGATTTTGATATTTTCAATTATTTTTCTGTACAACTTACAGATGTATTCAGTATTTTTAAATGAGGCTTTCTTCGTGTACTAGTATTACTTAAGTTAATTAAAGGGATGCCATAATATTTTGGAAAATGAAACTCGATCGAGAGATTCTCCGATGTTTTGCAGTCGGTAGTAACCTTCAACCCCTTAAGCCAGTAATTAACCCGTCCTCCCTGTGCCCAGTAGCATAATTTGGTCAAATATTTATTGTTCATGAGGGGTGGTTTATAATTAATCACAAGCACCTGAATTTTTATCAGTAAGTCTCTAAATTAGCCAAATATAGAAACATTCTACCCCCTCTATATATAAATACACAAGTTGTGCAACGCCATTTTGACCACCTGTTCGATTTAGGCTTCAATTTAACACATAAATCGGATATAGCTAAACTTCATGCTGACTTCGAATTTCGTCACAGGGCCCGATCGCCATCACCTGATGTCACGGAAATTTAATCTCGACACCAAATGCTCCTATACATAAACTTTTTTTAATTCAACAATTATAAATTTATTTCATTAACAAACAAAATCAGAAAAAAAAATTAAAAACCGATAGATTATGTTGTTTTGATAGTCTTGATTTTATTTAACATATGTTATATGTGTTAAAAACAAATCATAGGTACTAGGTAGAGGCTTTGTTGAAGTTTCCGTTGTCGATAGGTAGCGCCTTAAGGAAGTTTCCGGTGTCGATAAAAATCGGACACATGCCATAAAGCGGTTAGCGAAGCTAACCGCTTAAAAAATCGTTCTGGACGTTCTCTATCTCTTTAAATTTTATTTGGAGCTACAATATAGTTTTCAAACTAAATATAGGGAGAGATGTTCAAAGAAGTATATTCTAAATATTAATATGATTGTATTAACAATGTTTATTTTATTCATTTTAAATGAGTGTTGTATTTCGTCCAATAGGCGAGGATCTCTCGGACTGTACCAATATAACCTCTGTCTGGGAGGCGGATCCATCTATTGACCGCTGTCCACAGGAGGACTGGACAGTCTTAGCTGTCTCAGCCTTCTACATGCTCTTCTCTAACCTTCTGTTGGTCAACCTAGTCATTGCCATGTTCAGGTAGAGTAGTGTATCCATAAGCACATTGAAGTTGTGTAAACTTTGTCTAAGAGAATATTGTCTCTACCGAAGTTTCACATACGCTTTTCAATTTCTTATGGTAAATATGATGAATTGTTATTTTTTGGTTTATTTTGACTTTTTGTCTTTTTAGCTGCATCGTAAATATTCTGTTTGCTTGCCATGGTTCATTTTTTTTCAATTTCCGTGGTTATCGGTATATTTTAAATAGGGTATCTGATTTCTTTTCCAGCTACACCTTTGAAAGGGTACAGAACAATGCAGAGAAACTATGGCGTTTTGAGAGATACACGGTGATTAATGACTATGATTGGAGAATTCCATCTCCTATCAATCTCATTTTCCTCCCCTATCGCTTCTGTTGCTGTCCTGGTAGAAAGGGATGTTGCTTACATAAATGTAGGGGTAAGTATTGTTTTCAATATTTAGAGGAAGGAATGTCATTGAAAAGAAAAACCATTGTGTCAAATGTTACAAATCACTACATGTGATTATATGATTTTGCCTAAGGTGTGAAATACCCTTTCATATAAATTATTAAGAGATATATATTATTTAATTGTTAGAATGTTGCTGTGAGAAAGCGGTAAAAGAGGAAAAAACGGAAACGGAAAAGGCATTGAAATATCGTAAAAATTTCCAAAAGATAACAGCATTCAAAATACGAAATAATATGTAGAAAGAAAATTGGTTATTCTTAACAATGCAAAAATGAAAGTGAAAATGTGAAAAAGACATTACCAATGTTCATTAAAAAAACTGTATTGTTTCGTATGTGGAAAAGCTCCTCAAACAATTTTGAAATTTTATGTTTACTTATTTATTTGTCATACCTGTGATTTATCCATATTCCGTCCTGGGAAAAAAAATTATTGAGTTTACGTATAACTTTTATCTGCAATATGAAACAAGAAATGTGTTTTATTAGTTTTTATGATATTAATGAAATTGAATAAATATTGCCTAAATGACTTGATTTCATGTTTTTTTTTTTCAATTTAATTCAGTTTATTCACTCAAACCAATTAATGGTACATGAGGTTCTACAATATCTGTAAAATATATACAAAAAAATTTAAAAGATACACGTGAAACGGCGGAAATACATTCATATTGTGAAGTAACTATGGAGGACAGACCTTTTCATATACTCTATTTATGTAATTGCATAGTTTAATTGATACTTTAGAGTCAGCAGATGACAACAATTCTGAAAATTTGAAAAAAAAAATTGGTCTATTGCAATATTTACTAGATAGATATTTTTTTTCTGCATGCTGAAAAAAATCACATTCTAAAATGTATTGATATTCATTAGCTACTTGTCCATTATTACACAGATTACATAGTCTTTTATGGGAATTCCAAACTATCTCCCAGTCTCAACTTGGTGACGATGATTTGCTGTTCTTTATTTAATTAAAATTATTCTAAATTTTTTTGGTATTAGGTCTCCATATTTTTCAAATCCAAATTCTATTTTGAAGATACAATACGTAGGATCTTTAGACGATTCCCGCATATTACTTCACCACTTCTGTATGTACTGATCTTTAAGACATTGTTCAACTATAGCTTTTAGCCATGTAATATTTAAAAATGCCTGTTCATTCCATGTATTTGAGAATGGTAGTTACTTAACAGAAATAGTTAATTATGTATATACTCGTAATTCAGAATTCTATTACAGTTTAATGAAAGTATACTACATATTATATAAACAAATACATAAATATGTTTGTAACTGCAATAATTCTGTCTATCGGGAAATGGTCTTAACAAATTGACCAAAAAAAAAAAAAGACTTAAAAAGTCTTAAACTTTTAAATCTATAATTTTGAAATAAGAGCATCCAATTTCTTTACAAGTATATAAGTTAAGGAACATTTATTAGAAGAGTGCGGAAACATAGTTTGAGCTTATTTTCTGAATTTGTGACATTGTTGAAAGAAAGAAATAAAATCAATAAACATTATGAGGTAGTATGGTATTTGAATTGTTCAAATCATGACCCACAGGGGTAGGGCAAAGCTGCAAAAGGGGATCCAATTTATACATTCAAATATTTAGGAAAATTCTTTTTTTTATCTCCTATTATACCACTGGGGTACAAAGCTTGAAACTTATGTGGAAGCATCCTTGGGTAGATTCTAAATTGTTTTAATAATGGTCCCTGATGGTATGGTGGGGTCCAATTTTGTATTACAAGGGGGGAATCGTGATGTGCCGCATTGCCAAAGATTCTCAGGTGAGCAATGTGTTCTATGAGCCTCTTATTTATTATAACAAAATTAGTTAAACTCCAACCATCTGATTAGTAATGTTGATAAAAATACAATGATACGAAGCACAAGTTTTTTTTTTTAAAACGAAGACAAAGTGGCAAAAGATGAGGATTAAATGCCTGAAATAAAACAGAAGAAAGGAATTCGATTCTTTTATCTGGTCCATTGTCACTGATCTCAATACATGAATCCTAGAGAGAACATACTTATACCAAAATGTACAAACTGGAAAATAAAGAAGATTGATAAAGGATATGTTGTTACATTAAAGCAGGGCGGTTGTGACTGGTCCGTAGGGGATGTTCACTCCTCCATGGCACCTTATCCCACCTCTGATGTTTTAGTATGTAGAAAAGTCATTGCGCCAAGGAAGGAAAAATCTTACGATCGATTTTCACTTACGACAATGTGTCGATCTTACGACCACTTTCGTGAATAGCTCGTAACTTTTATCTTAGGATTATCGTAAGTTCAAGTGGTAGTCGTAAACTTACGATTTTTTGTGAATAGATGTCCTGCTCTCCTAGTGCCAATTGAAGGATGAACACTTGTCTCGTAAGGACGACTCAGTGTATCTCTATACGCCTTTCACAACCATATTTTGACTGCACACTGTTTAATTAAGTCTATAGATTGCGTTTGTAGTAGAAACACAAGTCATCTCAACCGCTCTTGAGACCTTTTTGCTTAATGTTCAGCTTATTATGTTATATCCTTGATAAATCTACATGTTTCTGAGTAAATATGCATACATTTATTAATATCAAAACTTTACAAAACAAATGAAATTTGAAAAGATACATGTAACTGGAATGCCATGAATATCAAACAATTGAATACAATTAATGTAGTTATTTATATTTATTTATAGACTTAATTTATCTTAGTTGACTTGATATGTGATAATTGTTTTTCAAATTGGCACCTACCGGCTTCCGAAGATTTCAACAATCTCAATTAAAGTCTTCATTTTGCAAAATTCTATGTTACAATTGTAGCTATAATGAGTTTGTTGGCAAATATAACATGTCATTTGGTTCTTCATGTAGTTAGCTGACTTGCTTTTATAATTATAAGGCCTTTGGTTTTACACTTAATTTGACCATGGAACTTTCTATCTACATGTACTTGAAAAATATGTAGGGTTTATAGAGGGTGTGGCCTGTTAATATTGTTCATAACAACTAAATTGAAATCATTTTTTGAAAAATAAGTATTCTTGCTGCCTTACTTTATTTTTGTTTTAATATGTACAAAATATTTTTCATTGAGATAATTTTTTAAAGTTTAGTATCTTCATCTCTATAATCAAAAAGGTTCTTTATCTCAACAGATGCCAGACGCTGAATGGTTTCTATTTTATCTTGTAGGAACTCAAGCTCTTTCTTTTTTCCAAGATAACTTCCTCGCTCTTTTTCTAGTCTTGAAATTGTTTCTAATAAATTTTCAATTTGTTTATATGTTGTTTCAGCAAATAACCTTTTCACAAGTTTCCTGTAGTGACTGCAGTACATATCTTCCAATTCAGATTTAATTTTGTCTGTAGTGTACTGTGCTCTAATTTCGTTGAACGCTGCGTTGATTACATCGGCTTTCTTTTCCTCCTTACTCCATTCTCTAATTTTCAAAATCAGCATCGGAGATAGAACAAATCCAGCTACAGCACAGAGTGTACCAGCTGCCGCCAGAATGGGTATCCACAGTGGAGCAGTTGCCACAGCGCCGATGAGGAGCGGGGTTTGATAATATGACTGCTGTTGATCTCCCTTTTGGTTTTCTTTCAAGGGTCCTTTGACTGCTTTCTCTATTTCTTTAATTTTGTGTTGAATTTCAGAAAAGGAAAGTGTTATGCGATCGACAATAGATCCTTTGACGGTGACTACTTCAGCTCCTCTCTGCCATTCACTAATATAATCTCTCATTCTTTTCCCGACTTTTTTCTCAAGTTTGTGATATCTTACAGACAAAATTCTTTTTTTGTTTGGAGGATTTAGAATGCAATTCTTACTATCAATGGACCAAAGAAACGTATGTAGTCTTTCACTTAATTTCTCTAACTCTTGAGAGATCATATCACAAAGCTCTTGTTTTTTCTATATGAAAAAAGTAATAATTTTTTAAGTGTACATAAAATGTTATTTTTTTTATCTTCTAGCTAATTTTTCACTTAAATCCATACTTTTAAAATAATTTACCTGCTTTGCGTTCTTTTCCAAGCAAAGTGCTTCGGAATACATACTGTTAATCTTTTCAACACAGTTGTCACGCGATAAAGATATATAATGCAGTCTCCCTTTTACTCTTATGTCCATCTCCTTGGCAATATCCTCAAGAAATCTAAGTACAAATGCGTTACAATGTCATTACTTTACTTTTTACAATTAATCACATCTCTGTTCTGTCTTTTGTCTTAATTTATGCTTCAGTGTGTTTTCGAAGTTTTACTGTTTTTACGCAGCAAAATAACGTTTTGCATGTCCAGTACTATCACGTTGGTAGTGGAGTTTTATGAAGAGACTTACTTGTACAGTTGACGACTGACTTTTACAATTTAAACACATACACACTCCATTTACTAAAATGTAAAAGTCAGCTGTCGAATGTAAAAGTAAGTCTCTTCATAAAAATCTAGTAGAAGTATATATACTATGAATACATTGTCTCTCTATATCGCCTTAAGACAACGAAAGGAAAATATACGGTATTAGTATAAGGAAATGTTTCCTTTCATGTTTTCGTAGAAGTTTGCAACAGGTGCAAATATTTATCCACAAATGTATACACTGTAATTTAAATCAAGAAATGTTCTCGATGCTTTACCATTTTAAATTAAATATACATATTTTTGATAATGAAGCAGACATGCTTTTTTCACTAGAAATCTGAAATTGATATAAATGTAAAAGAATAAAGGATTTTTATCAAACCTGATATGTTTGAGTCTTCGAGCATAATGGTTCTTCTCTATCACGTCAGATAAACTTTTTTCAAATCGCTGAAATTCTTTTTGGAACTCTCTCATGTTTTCCACTTTTTATGGCTGAAATGTTAATTTAAAATTCTGATTCTTCATTGCACATCTAAGGAAGAACATTATTGATTTTTTTTAAATTATTGATGCAAGTAGATCATACATAGGATACATTTATTTATTCTTACTTGCCTTTCAAATGAATTGTAAAGTAAAAATCATAGTGTACAATACATCTAGAATTTTTATGGTAAAAATTAAGGACTATTTTTTCCGGCGATGAAATACCTAGCATATGATCTTTAAAGTGTCAGATTAACAAATACATTCACATAAGGCATTTGATTGATAAATATGTAGATACAAAAAAAAAACGATATATAAAAAAAATCACACAAGTTGTGAAGGCATACAGTGCGATCCATAAAATTCAAGACGTGGACGAGTACGCATCTTTGATGACCGGCGCAATCTGCCGCGAGCTCTATATATTGTTAAGGTAGGCAACATCTTTTGTAACAAATTAGTGAGAAAAAAACTAGGGCATAATAGAATGCCACGGTGCAGCTAAATGTGATCAAATAATAGATTATAATTTCAAACAAAAATGTAAGAGCTAATTAGGTACGGTAATTTCTTATATTTTTTAAGTCATGAAGGGAGGTGTTTATTAAACTACAGGTACTGTAAGCAATGAGCTCACTAAATGATACCCCAGCCTCCGATATGATAATAATGATAAAGGGCCTGTTTGCTCTTGGAGATCCGAAATAAGTGTCAGATCAAAAAGTAAAATTATAAGCACAATTATAACATGTAAAAAATAATCTGTAAAAGTATCATTTTGTCAAGTGGTATAGGAAGAGTTGCGGATAAGAGATGGGTACCCTTCAATAGTATAGAAAAAATGGCAGTGTCAATGTTTCGCTCTGGAAACCCCCAAAAATGTGTCCGATCAGAAAGTAAAATAGAAGGTGCACAATGGCATTATATAACAAAGATTCTGTGAAAGTTTCATCAAATTTCATTCATCGGTATAAGAGGAGTTGCGGATAAGAGATGGGTACCCCAAAGCGTAACAGACAGACGAACGGACGGACAGACGGACGGACATAACGGTTACTATATGCCGTCCCGCTTTTCAAGCGGGGGGTATAATAATCTGTGTCAGCCTTTCCTTACTCAAATATACAAAAAGTTTCCAATTATTTGTTTGGTTATTTTTTTCAGTGAGAGGAGGGTAGAATTTAAGCAGCACTGATTCAGAGTTGTTTGATAAGAAAGAAATAATCAACAAATAATGTTGAATTTACTTTTTTTCAATAAGACATATTTTGATCTATTGATATATCCATAGTGAATATCGCTGAATATTAACAATATGCAGACAAAAATCTACCGGATCTAAGGCTGTCCGAAACACATTTTCCGATGAAAATGATGGCCAACATGTTTTCAATTTTTCTTGAATTTTTCGCCATGTCTTTTCACATTGTTCCTTATGGACTGCGTCCCACTTGTTGGACACAAACAAGGCGTCTCGGGGATCAAAACATGGTATGTCTTGGTCATCGTGGAGTTTCATCACTTCTTGGAGTATCTTAATTAGCTGGAAGCAAAAATGTCCAAGAAATGCATGTCAAAAAGAAAAAGACAAGAAAATCGTGTTCAAACACACACAAAACAAATTCAGGATTTATAAGTTTTCAAATGAACATAATACGAAATATTCATTGGATGGTCTAATATAGGATGATGGCTTGCAAAATTTAACATTACCCTGAAATATAAGTTTAATATTATCTAATGTATGTACATGTATTGCAAGGTTCTATAAAAATAAAACCACTCAAAAACATTCGATAACAAAGGACCCTGATTGTCTTTTTAATAGAAAATTGAGCTATAATTTTTCATTTAAAAAAAGAAGAATGATCTTGTATATACCTCTTCCATTTATTTCAATTCGATATTAAAGAAATAAATAACTTATTTATAAATAACTTTTAGGCGGAGTTCCTGATGATAGGTTGGTACCCTTCAATAATATAAAAAAATTTCCATGTCCCTGTTTTTCGAAGGGAAACCCGAAATATGTGTCCGATCACAAAGTAAAATAGGAGTTGCACAATGGCACTATGTGACAAAGAACCTATGGAAGTCTCATTAAATCTTATTAAATAATATAAGATGAGTTGCGGATAAGGACTGGTGCCCAAAGCGTAACAGACGGACTGACGGACATCCAAATCACTATATACATGTACCCACCTAAGTTTCAAGCTAGAGGTATAATGAATTGGTTACCAATAAAATTTTTTTCGGAAACTCAACAAGATTAAGAATTTTACATTGCAGAACAAAAAAATATAGTGTACCATTTAATCAAAGAATGCTAGAATTATGCAGAATATATATATGTACATAAGGAAAATAAATACCCGATCTTCTTGCAAACCTCCAGCGCTCACCACACTCATGACAAAAACAAAAGATGTAGCATTAGGCAAATATTCCATCATTTTTACTTCAAGATCTTTTGAGCCTCCAATACCAGGTGTATTAACAATCATTGTATTACCCTATAATATTTTGAGGGAAAACTTACAAAGATTGTTTGCCAACATCAGGCAACCAACAGCACTGAGTAATTTCCCTCGTAATACTCAGTACATTAATACATTGACATTAGAAACTGCAGTGCATACTTTACTTTGTATCTCATCCACTTCTGATAGGAGCAGTAACGTTTACCAAATATTTTATTTTTAAAATTAAATTCAAGAAAGATTTTGTAAAATTATCCTTTCTTTATTTAGATTGTTGTCTAGGTAATAATACAATACCTTCAAAAATGGCACGGAAAGACTAACATCAACATGATCAATATATATTGAGCTAGTTGCCGGTCTTTCGTCGACATACTCTTGAAGGAATTCCTTCATTGAAACCTCGAATCCCTTAGGAAATGATTTCTCTTCTAAAACTTGATTATCGGTTCCAAAAATTTTACATTCAATCTGATTTTTATTTCCAGAATTTCGAACTCTGCAGATTGTTGATGTTGTTTCTGAAACGTCTGGTGTAAAAATTTGTTTACCTACTAATCGATTGATGAGAGTTGATTTCCCTGCACTGGTCTCTCCTGGTCAAATAAATGACAGAGGTAAATTCGTCATGTTTAATGATATATGTATTATTCTTAATTCAAATATTAAATTATTAATAAAATGGTGCATTTAATAATATCCAACTATTTGTAATCCTGTGTAAGCTTGGTGTATTTTTTCAAAGCTGACAGATTTAGTCAAAAAAAAAAGTATTTTATGCAAGTTTTGTTTTACTGGTTCTTAATTATTGGCCTATTGCAAGAAGAAATACTTTAAAACCTGAAAATAGACTAACAGAAGTAGATATATATACACATTACTAAATATTTAGTTTTAAATAATCATTCTAATTAGCGATTTCTTCTTACATGTTAGAAAGCAACTATATTTTGTTATACTATATCATGCATATTGTACTATGATTACTAATAATAGGCATTTCTCTGCTTGTAATAGAAACTTTATTTTGGTATCAGCTGTGCTAGACATCACTTTTCGTGGTACAGTTGTTCAGTTTCCATTTACATCAAGGATGTGCTTATGTCTTGTATTTGTCAACATTTTTTTTTTAGTTTGCACATTTTATTTGTTAATTTATAAGCACAATTTACTTTCAATATATAGATATTTTGATAACTCATGCTTTATGAATTACTTTTAAACGTGCCTCCAGGCAGGGTCTTCTTTTTTCCATCGGGTTCGATGCCACCTGGCGTTTATGCTATTTCGAGACTGATAACCGAAAATAAACTTGACATTTAATCAAATTCCTCTGAAGATAACGTACGAATATCATTTTATACCTAATGTACCCAGAGAAAGTATAAAATATGGAACAAGCGTTTCGTGTTTTGCTTTTCTTTTTGGGGGCAGGGGGCAGAATGTGTTAAATTTTAAGTATTGATACATATAAGTTAGTAAAAGAATTTTAAAAAACCTTTTAAACAAAGTTTGCCCATTTTTGCTTTATTTACAGGATAAATTCCTTTTCTGAGATTTTTCCGATCTATGAGATTGGGCTGTGTTTTACTACGTTTCATAGTGCGTTTTATGAACTCCATATTATTAGCATTTACCAAACAATATATTTAATAATTCAATAATATTTAGAAACGTATAATTTCTATCCATCATAAATATAATGTGCTTATAGAATTGGATAATTAAAATGCCGAAATATTTCCTGTACTATTTACTAAATTAATTCCTCTTTTTTACATCAATAGTAAGTTGTAAGATATTTATTTACCAGCAATGATAACGCAGAGGTCCTTTCTAGATAGATCTGCCTTTCCTTTCCGAATTTCCTCCTCAAAATTCGGGAAACAAGTATTCATATCACCTCGGATCAAATCAAACTCTGGAGAATTGATAAGCTCATGCAAGTGGTCAAAAATACAGGTAACCAAATCCTTGTCCTCGTCTTTCTTTACTAGGGAGAAATTCCTTTTTGAAAGTTGAAAAATTTAATACCACTTTCTATCAATCTTCTTTTGAATGATTTGTTATCATAAAAAAAAAACATTGTACATTCTTTTCAACATAACCTACATAGACTTGTAGCATTAAAGAGTGGGTGGTTGGTTCCTCAATTGTTTTCCAGACTTAATTTTAACTATAGAAAATGCTAATCGAACACTCATCCCCCAACCCAAGAAAAATAATATGTGAAATTTTCCTTAGGGGTGAAGGTAAGTTGGTATAGTTTCTCTTACCGGTCCTCCAAACTTTAAAAAACGATGCTATATCACTGCTATGTGGCAACGCACTTTGAAAAAATTACGCACTTTGAAAATGTTTTTCAAAGTGCGTTAAATTTGGGATAAAATCAACGCACTTTGAAAAAAAAATTTCAAAGTGCGTTAAATTTGGGACCACCTCAACGCACTTATTTTAGTAATGGAAAGATTTTATTTGTTATTTATCTTTCAATAAACTAACCCTAACCGTAACCTCAAAAACAGAATTGATTTACTCCCGTCGAAAAAAGGAGAAGACAGGTATAAGATCCCTCAGTCCAAATCTTTATCTTTCCAATGCATAGGTGTCGGTAACAAACGAGGGAGGGGAGCAATAAACCCAAAAAGGGTAAGCTGCATTTTCAATGCTTATACGATGTATATATCTTTCCAAAATAAGTGGGGGGGTTAGCCCCCCTCCCTCCCCTGGCCCGGTCTCGATTTCTATGCTATACTCAAAACATTCATATAATTATGTATTTACCTAACTGGTATGACGTTGAAAACTTTCAATATCAAATGAGTTAATTAAAACAGATGAACACTAGAAATTTTAAGTACAGTAAAACGTATGAGAGAGAAAGAATTTTCATAGTTTGAACAATCAAATTGCCCCCTTTTTATTATGATAAATGCTAAGTTACTTAAAGCTGTCCAATGTTAGTGCCCTTTTACATCTTTACATCTACTTATCGAAGACTTAAATTAATAAAACTAAAGAAACGAATTAATGATCTTAAACAATCGTCACTCTTTTTTTCAAGACCCTTTTCCCTTTTATTTTATCAAAACCTCGAATATTTAAAACGTCAATATCTCAGGTCCTGATGTGACTTTATCATAAAAAAAGGTCTCCAACCAGGATCTGTTATTTATCATACCGAGTATTTGTAGGAATAATGATCAATCTTTACATTTTTTTAAAAGTGCGTTAATATGGTCTATATTAACGTACTTTGGAAAAAAAAATCTCTTCAAAGTGCGTTAGCTTGGTCCCAAATTTAACGCACTTTGAATTTTTTTTCAAAGTGCGTAATTTTTCAAAGTGCGTTATAACACTGCTATTTATATAAATATGACTTAAATATTCGTAGTATTATAATAATTACTATTTTTCTACTCTCACCTCTTACCTACCTTGCAATTCTTCTTTCAGTTTTCCTAAGTTCTTCTAAGGAACTATCGAAGGGGTCGTCCTTTTTCTCGGTTTCTGCTACCTGAGCAGACGTTTGCCTAAAATAATAAGATCTTTGCATAAAGTTAAAACACAATTGACAAGTAGATGCTTGGTACATTTTTTTCTTTCTTCTACACAATGAACACCAGGAGTTCATAAGTTCATAATTGTGGGATTGTATTTGATGTTGGATACCAAAAAATGTCTTTATAAAACTCTATTGGTCAGGTTTAAGTTCAAAAATAACATTTTGCGACTAAAGGCAGTGTCGTAAAAATGGGGAAAAAGCGACCCTTTTAGTGAATATCTTACTTTATTACTTAACGTGTATCACTCAATTTTACTATTGATTTTACGTAATCATGTGATGTCGTGATCCAACTTTCCAGATCACCACACTGTTGTTTTCTGAATCCACATCACCACTCTTTGAAACTGATGACGTAATAAGCTGAAACATTACGCTATTTTTCTTGCGCGTCAAAAGTCCCTTGTTATTATGCTTTATTTTATGCATAGATGTTATACATTTAGATCTCTAAAGTTTTAATTTGCGATATTTAGCTAATTATCAAATTTATCATTATAACAGAAACATAATCTCAAAAGCCGTACCACGTCGTGTTGACAGGCGCGGATCATCAGATCACATTAGACGCAAACCTTCGGATCAAGTTACTGTTATAATAATATAAATGCAATTAATTCACTGCATATTAGGTTCCTGATATTTGTTTTCAACTAGTACTCCTTTTATTCGCCAAATAAAAGAATATTTTTATATGTAGCGAGTGTTCTAACCACACATCTTACTAAATGTTCTTTGATTTTAACAGGAAGTGACAATAAGGAAATCTGACTCTTATGCTGAATAAACAATATCATAAGTACATTAAGAATGGGGTATTAGAATGGCAACAGTTATAGGAGGCCAAAAGTCTTGATTTCCAATTTTATTGCGACGTGTTTGCTTATAGCTTATAGATATATTTATCTTTTGTTTACTGAATTTACATGTGAAACACCTATCCAGGTACCCATCAAATGAATCTCATAATTCGTTCAGTACGAAATGACATATATTTTACCGTGTGCATATCTTTGGCCTTCTATAGACGGCTGGTTCTTCTATGTCTTTATTTTCAGTGGAACTGAAAAAAAATATGCATATTGCTCCAATTATTTAATTTTGAAGATGTTTGTTCTTTAAGGTCATTCATAAAAAAAATAGATACGCTGTCCAGGTATTGCAAAGAATAAGATATATTATATTTTCCCTATATTTATTTCTTAAATAGTGCTCTTATCAAAAGAAAATGTTCTACGTATAAACAACGTCTAAAACCATGTAATTTATTCATTTGGTAATTTATAATATCAAAGTATAAATATCAGCGGTTTCATTTAATCATCAATTCACAAGTTTTGTCACGGTAGTTACAATGGCTGTTACAACAAATAAATTTATCATTAAGTAAAATGCTGACGGACATTTTCATACTAATTCTTAGACCATTGTTTACCTACTGAGTTATCCACGGATATCTCCGCTTTTCCCGTTAATTAATCTTTCATTATACATTATATTTTTTTGATAGAAATTATTGTCACTTTTCCATCTTTTTTTTTTTTTTTTTTTTTTTGGGGGGGGGGGGTCTTAGTTACCTAATTACATGCATATAACTTTTGTTGCACTTTAACTATATATCGTTGTCATTGAAGGTATTGCATAAAGGTTTAACTCTCCTTTTCCTTCCTTTTTTTCTAAAAAACAGTTTAAAGAGATAAAAAGATAAATGAAATGAACAAAAAGGAAGGAAACATGTAGAGAAGGAGCTAGAGCTAAGTTATTTTTGACAAGGGGGATGGATATCAGTATTGTTAAGAATCCTTAGTACTTGATCTATTCTTGTTAATGTTTACAGGTGACATTCAATTACTTACGGATCTGGGGGATTTAAAAAATATAATTAAAAAATTAATACAGAGAACAATCAGGAGTAAAAGATTGTATAAGATTTATTCTGTTGTGTTCATAAAATTATATAAAAAAAATCCAGTGCGTGTAAGGGATAATGAATATTTTGAATAAAGTACATATAGAAGGACATAGATTTTTTACCTGACATTTTGACCAAAGACAGCCCCTTTCTCTGAAGATTTTTCGTTTAGAACACTTTCTGTTCTGTTTTCCATATCTGCAAAAACACTAGCAGTAATACTATGATTATATATATATAGAAACATTCCTGTCATTCTGATTTCTGTTGGAATAACTTAATAGACTAAACTTCAAATGATATAAATTGAGTTACATTTTGTAATTGATTAATTGCATTAAAGATATTCAGCATGAAAAAAGGCTCTTGTTGTGTCCTTGAGTTCCACATTTGTATTTATCACTTTCAGTAAGACAATTTCTTAAAAGGTTGTAGTGAGAACATCAATGCACACTTTGCATAATTTTTTTTATTTATTTTAAGGCTCTGCTGAATCGTGAAGTTGCGCAGTTCTAGAGAGCATATCAAAATCATTTCACTGCAAAAGTATGAATTATTTACACAAAACATGCATTCAGTAATGCATATTTATTGTATCTTTATCACAAGGACTTGAAATTTGATCATATTATAGTGTACTTCATAGGGAAAAAATCATTGGCTAAGGAACTGCATTTGACGACAAATCAACCAATTGGGTCACTTGTATAACCTCAAAACAAATGAATGATAAGATAAAATTATTAAACAGTATTTTTTATTTATATTTCTCTTAACATTTTAAATTATCTTTAATTTGAGTGTTAATGATTCTATGTCGCTTATCTCTTGGTGGATTAATATTTTAATGATGCCTTCAGCTCCCTTATCGTGCAAATGACGGCCTGATTTTGTGCCCCAGTTATTTTTTTTGTTGTTGATATCAAGACAAGAACACTCATCCATAAAGGCAGATGCAAACATAGCGTACCTGGATAAATTGTGCATTCAGTTCTTGAACTCCTATATAGATCTAAATTCTTGTTTGCTCAAAAACTTTCCGCGGCTTTTATATTTGTAATTGGATATATTAATTGCATATGTGTTAATAACAAGTGTTGAAGATACATGTATATGTAATGTATTATAATTTATAGAGAATTACTATTCCACATATTTTATGCAATATAATCCGACTATAAATAAAATTTACTACTACTTATGCAAATTCCACTCTTAAGTACACATTATACGAATATTTAAAGAATCTTCAAAAACTATGAAAATAACTTAATTCATGTTTTTAAAGGTTGAATGAATTAGATAAATGCATGTATTTAAATTTTTGCATTCATCATATCTCAGGAATCTTTTTAAAAATATGTATAGATTTATTAGAGCATATCCAAAAGGGTAGAATTTTCAACTTCAGCTAGTTAATAGAAATTTCACAATTCCTCAATATTATAGATACGAATTTAATATTTCGTATTTAATTCTTGAATCATTTACAACTAAAATATGTTTAAATATAAATACAAAGCTAAGCGGTTCTGTGTGTATCAACTATTTTTTTTTCCTTTCACTGTCTAGAATCGAAAGGCAAACTATTTCATGCTGGAAAAGATGCACGTGTTTACATGGTTTTCGAAGGTACATTATTTTTTACAGAGATTTCAAAACTCATTAACTTTAAAAAAAAATTATCCTTTCGATAACCCAAACTTATTTTTATATAATTTCTCCGTCAAATAAAAGGTGATGAATAAAAATTGGGCAAATTCTATTTGACTTACCTTAAGAGGGGCGACACTGAATAACAGATAGCACGTATGAAAAGGCAAGGTTGCGAACAATAATCAGGTTGGACAGGTGTACCTGTTCTGCATTTTCAAAAAGAATTTAAACACAAAATAAGATTACTATTTGCTGTGTTAAATAGCACGTCCTTGCTGCACATTTTAAAATTGGATGCAACGTTTTATGCAACATATGCAAACATCATGTTTATGTAACATTTTTTTTCATTTTAATATATTTCTTTGGGGGCATGATGGGTGTGATTCGAGGAGGTACAGAACAATTTTTTTTAACAAAAATCTAAATGACATCATTTTCGAAATCAAAAAAGTAAATTAAATATGTACATAAATTTTTCACTTATGTAGAGACGTCGTCACTGTGTGCCGGTGAAGAGCTTCAAATCTAGACCAATACTCGGCACTAAGGGTCACTGAGCAGTGAGGTTTTTTTTTTTATCAGGCCACGCCTACCGTGACACGAGACCTACGTTTTTAAGGTTATACCCATACTGCTTAGTGGCTCCGAGTGCAGAGTATAGGACAAAATTTGTAGCTCTCCATCTGCAAGTGGTGGCGTCTCCACTTGAGTGACAAATTCTCGAGAGAGGGACGTTAAACAACATACAATCAATCAATATATTTCATGAAAGTGTTAGCAGGAATATATATTTTCCTTCAAAATATGTAAAGTTGACGATAGAAAAATTGATTTGCAATTGTCTCCTCTGTCAAAATTGTTCATTTGCATTTCTCTTTAGTTGGTAAAACTTCCAAATATGAGACTCTGTTGTGTGTTTAATTTTACAGACCTACTCTCCAAGAAATAGATAAATGTTGTCAATGATAAACTCCAGCATACAAAGGATTTTCATGAAGCACATTGACATTTAACCAAAACAAGATGTCTTTGTGAAACACTATGCGCCAGGCAGCAACAAAGTTTGGAAAAAGCTATTTTTAGCATTAAGGTCACAGTCAAGGTAACAAGGTCATTGGCTTGGTGTCATTTGAAAGAGCTTGATTAATGGAATATGCATACCAAATATGAAATCTCAATCTCTCATGGTTCAAAAGTTATAGTGAGGGTTAAAAAAGCTATTTTAGCATATAGTTCACAGTCAAGGTGACAAGGTCACTGATCTTGGTGTCATTTGGTGGAACTTGATTAGTGGAGTATGCATACCAAATACATGTATAAAGTCTCTATCTTTCATGGTTCCAAAGTTATTGCGAAGGTTAATGTTTGCAGAAAAAAAGCTATTTTTAGGATATAGGCCACAGTTCATTAACCTTGGTGTTATTTGAAAGAAGTTAATTAGTGGAGTATGCTTACTAAATATTAAGTCTCTATCTCTCATGGTTCAAAAGTTATGGTGAAGGTTAAATTTCGAGACAAACAAACAACCAACCAAACAGACAGACAGACAGACAGGATAAAAACAATATATGCCCTGGATCTATCGATCGCAAAAAATTTATATAGTTAACTATAGCTTACTATACATGTAGTTACATGTAGCTATAGTTAACTATAGTGATAAATATGAAAACTTTAATTTAATATAGTGATAGCTTTGACACTTTAGTTACTATAGTATACATAATACGTATAGTACACTTTGATTAACTACATTGATAACTATAAATACTTTGATTTACCACCGTGATTGCTATGAAAATGTGTATTTACTGTGGTAAAAAAAGTTTGCTTTATTATGGTGATCACTTTGACACTTTGATTTACTATGATTAACTAAAACAAACTATAGTTAACTATAGTATTTCGTTAGGGAAATAGATAGACAACAATTTCAACTAAATGACAACCTTACATGTACATGTATACATAGAATAAACGCCTGTATAGATTTTATTTTCTTTTAATAAGACAGACTCCAAAACTTAATTGTAGCCCTGGCTATACAAAAAAATCGATGATTAATTTAAAGATAATTCCACTTGGGTACAAACTGAATACGAAAAAAATCTTTAAAATGAATTTGTTTGGCTCTGTCACACACAGACACAATGTTAATATTTGAATATAATGCAAGTTCTGAGCATGTCACAATCTCCTTTAAGAAATACCCAAGCAATATATTCCACATGAATGACGACATGACGAATTCATTATACAAATATTTAAAAAAAAAAAATATTTCACAAATAATTATAAATGTAATCAAAGAACGTCATATACATGTATCCATTAGACCACATGTTTCGAACAACAAGTGAGCAATTGGCGTCATTCTCATACCTATAGAAATTTATGTTAATGGTGTTTACAGGTACATGCATTCGCATTATGCCAGACTACAAAGAAATTTGAAGTCTCTTTGGCGTTTGAAAGTCAGCTTTTGTAACTACAACTTTGACTAAAAAATTCACACAAGTCTGTCAAGTACTCAAGTATTTGTCTTTATCAAAATAATACTCAGTGAAAGTTCACACCACTAAACAAAATGTACACTCAATTAGTTGCATTCAGAAACAGCAAGTACTTACATGTACATGTAATAAGTAATCAGCAATACGATTTTATGTATTTTGTTATCTTATATTTCAAAGTCAACTAAAACGAAACATGATTCTCATTCAAAGAAAAAAAAAGAGTTTTTCTACCTCCTTCAAAATAATTATTTAAAAATTGCATTTTGTATTTAGTGCCTGAGAAAGAAAACGTTTCTGTCACACTGACTTGTATCACTAAATGTAAACTTATATGCATATTGATAAGACATATTCTAAGATGCGCAAATTAGTAACAGTGCCCTTTCAATCCATAAAAAAAGTCGGAGGGGGGCTATCCAAATAAAACAAGGACACTACTCACAAGTTCTCTCATAAAATGATTTAAGATACAATCCATTCCACGAAGTGCAATTATCTTGTTTTAGAAAATGACACATAAACAGACATAACTACATGTGATATTCATAAGTGAGAAACTAATAAAAAATCAATGCTTTCAATATGACATACAGCAAAATATATGATTCCGATCATCAACCATCAATGTAATGGTGAATGAAAATTCAATGCATAGTACTTGAAACAATTTTCACATATCAGTGAAACCTTCAAATTGAATATCAAAATACACAGAGTGTTGGACTGGACAGTGAAAGAAGCATAAAAAACAGTAAAATGGGTTGCCTGGGTTCGTATTCACAGTGAAACAGAATATAAACAAGTGTTCAGTTTTCAATGTACATGGATGAAGGATTAGCAAGTCTTGATTATACCGGGGAATACAAATACCTCAGTACATCGAATATGAAGATGAACGACCTGTTAAGTCAGGGTTTTTTTTTTTTTACAAACATACATTCTGACTAAGTAGCAAACTACATACATGTAATGACTAGATGCCAATGAAGTTACATGTAAGCATACAAGATATTAAAATAGTACGTCAACAAAATTCTGCTGAAACGAAAATGCCCTTAATAGTTCTGATTTCTTACTGGAACTTTGACAAAAATATGCATATGAAAATATATGAAACTTGAGATTCACAAGTTCATCAGATACGAAAAAATAATTGAGGAAAAAAAGACAAAAGTCAGACAACCTTGATATTGATAGTGACAAATCTTATCTTAACGAAAGGCCCTATGGTCAAAACACTGACATGTCAATATGGCTCTGCTATTCTTCATTAGAAGAGTTTTTATTATATACTCGAGTTAATTTTTTTTATTCCTATGGTGAGTCCATCCTACCTCAAGTGTCATTATTTTTATAGCTGAAGCCACATCCTACAAACCAGGGGTCATTATTTGAACAAACCTGAGTCTACACACTAAATACTTCCATATAAATGGGACTTAAAACTGAATATGATTCGTAAAAGGAATGTGTCCACCATTCTTGATTGGATTATCACTAAAATCTGTGGACCCCTATATAAAGGGGCTGACATTGTCACAGTCAAGTGTAATCAACAATGTGGACTGATGTATGCTATACAGCATTCCTAAGCAAAAATAACTATATACTTGTACTAATGCAGGAAAATAAGATACCAATGAAACTTACAATACTTGCACAGGTCATTGCAGTATACAAACAAACGAAATATATGCAACCGCAATAAAATGTAAACAAAGGTAATGCAAGATAACCAGCACAAACACGAGTCCCAATTCCACAACTATACCCATGACAAGAAAGCAGTGAGGTGTAACAAATTCAAAAATTAGTGTAGATGCCTATATATACGAGAGGAATTATTGCGTAATTTCGAGATAAATGTGAAATAGAGTTACTAGCCTTTATTTTAATTGTGCTAAAATACACTTAACATTTGTTGAAAAGCAGCCCACTTATGAGTTATTTTTCTCGCTATTTGCAATCAAAATGCTTTAGGACGATAATTTGTAGACACGTAAAATAAGAAATTGACACTATAACCTAGTGCTCATTTGCAGATAATGTCAAAAATGGCATATCATTATGCCTATTTACTAGCGGAGTTAAGCTTTAACATGACTTTGCTGATCTCAAGAAAAAGAGTTTTAGAGAATTTTTTCCTATAAATCCATATGTTGAATTTTCCTAACGCATTTAGCCAAACCCCAACTTCAATCTACACTACTTGAGGATGTTTTCAATATCAATATGACTAATCATGGCTTTGCTTTTCTCATGAAGAGGACTTTTTAAAGATTTTTTACCAATATATTTCTAAGAAAACATTTTACCCCTATTGCAGCCAAATTCTACATCCAGAGGTCATTCTATGAAAAGCAATTTAAAATTGATCAAAACACTATACAGTGGCTTCTAACACCCCTCTCTTCTTCTCTCTTTCCCCCTGTCTGTCAGGTTTAACTTTCATTGACTACTTCTCTGCTTCACACCACCTGGCCAGTCCATCTTCACATAACTTTTTTCCAACATTTATATCCTGAAAAATTATTGTTAAAAAATCAAAACAAGTACCACCTGCTGGGAATGATCTCTTCAACCATTACCACTTTTAATCACTACCGCATATTATTTATTCAACAGTGATTATTTTACCCTCGATTTCTCAAATCCTCAGATATCTTAAAGTTTTTTTTTCGATATAACATGGTTTCACTGTATTTCTTTTATTCTTATGATTATCAACAAGAAATTTAATTTAAAATTAAAATACACACAATTGCATTATACTTTGTAGGAAAAAAAATGACAGTCATGTAAAATTCTCAATTCTAAGGAGAAAAGATATTCATTAATTCCAGTTAGAGTTAGACCTATAAACAAACTTTGAACAAAGGGTCCAGGAACCGTAACAATTCTGACAGAATTAACTTTTAGAAAAATCCTTCCATTGACATTTTCTCATGATATCCATTAATCATGTGAACAAAGTTTTTCTCCTAAACTAATTCTAAAACTGATAGAATAATCTCTAGAGAGAAGTCTTTCCCCTGACCTTTTCGCCATTTGTATCCACCAGCTCCACTATGTGGATTTTCTCCCCGGTGGACAGAGTTTTTATCTCCACCAGATGTGCCATCAGGACTTTCCACATGGCGGAGTACGTCATCTGCTCAAATCTGTCCACTACTGCCTCCTCCCAGCTGTCTCCATCTACACACAACAAGAGGCCCATGGGCCACATCGCTCACCTGCGCCATCTTGGGCCATTTTTTAAAATTTAAAAACAAAGATTTTTTTTAGATTTCTCCTGACATGAAATATTTCATTACTTCATATTCTCTCATCATCTAAACTTAACCCAAATGTATCATAATACAAGTAGTATATTAAATTCACACATTATGAAGATGCTTAAATTTCAATTTGACCAATTGTGTTCTTTACATAAACAAAGAAGTTGAACATCTAGGCTTCAGACATACATGCACATACTGTTATTCCTTTTATGAGCCAAAGATTGTTCATACATTACCCCATTTTGCATTCATTTTGACAAATGCAATCAGTTACTAACCTCCCTTCAGTGAATAAGAAAAACGCACAATTGTGCTTAAAACTTTATTCAGTAACAAGAAATTGAGTTATGCATGTCTTATCGATAAGTGATTATCTGCAGTATACAATATGAACTTTCTTTTTAATTAAAATAACAGATAAAACGGTGAACAATGTGGTACATATTAAATTATGTTGACACATTTGATATTATAATATAGAACAATTACTTGAAATATATTACTTATTTTGAAACTTACTTTCACATACATGTGAGGTAGTAAGTCAAAAACATGTATTAATAAAATCAGTACATGGATAATTAAATTTACAACATAACAATTGCAAATGACAATAAATCTTAATAAAGAGAAATACTATATATAGCATGGGAAAAATCATTTGAAAATGCAGTCAAAATATGCATTTTTATATATATATTGGTCATTTAAACAAATACAATCACTCAATATACATACCTTTCCCAATGAAAGCGAAAACAGGAAAGGTTATGTGTAAATGATTGAAAAAAAAGTTTTTCAGGTTTTACCTTTAAGCATAGTATAGTACTTTACATTTACATAATTGCATTCTCAGAACCCCTAATTCAAAGAATCTTGTTAAAAATTGAAGGGAATATAAAGTTTTTATTATAAATGTAGCATATCATGTGCTATCATACATGTATTTATAAGTATTTTTTTTTTGTTTTCTAAAAGAGGTAGGTTTACCTCCCTTTACGGGCTGGCCATTGACCCCCTCTTTCCATACTTACCTGTAAATTATACATTTTGTACACATTAAATTCTGTCTAATAGAAGTCATCTTTAAACACTTGATACTCCAAAAATCTACATGATCCATGTAGTATTCATTTAAATCAGGGAATCTGAGATTTCATATTAAAGTTTTACTATAGCTTTGACAATTCATTGAGATTGTTTAACTGTAAGCATTGTTATTTTGAACTGGTCATATTTACAAAGAGGTTCATTGTACAAATAAGATATAATTAAGTAAAAAAATATAATTACTATTTTGTATGTCCAGTACATTTTATCATGCTTTTTCACCTATGAAAATAAGAAAACAAAACAAGGCACAAATCCAAGTAAAAGTTCAAACTATTTCAGCAAAAGATAAAAGTCATGCAGTCAATGAAGAGAATCAAATCACTGGTTACCACATTCCAAAAGGTGACATACATTTAATTTTTGCAATGATAAACATGTATCTGGAAAATATTGGAAGATGAATATCACAGACTGAGAGTATCTGAAAGAGTCAGATTTATTCACAGTTAATGGCATGGTCTAGAGTCACAATCAGTGCAGTCTATAAAAGAGTATCATTCAATGTCCCTCAAGAAAGATATCACAAAATATCGGATGAAAAGTTCACAACACAAAATCCAGTTATCCGTATAAAGTCATATTAATTCTCAATTTCTGGAACATCAATATTGTTTTAAAGATATCTGAATTCTTTAAATTAATGGTAATTCATTATACATTCATATTCAGAATGGACAAGATATATCCAAACAATAAACTACAAAATGAAGATACATGTACATTATTACTAATAATAATGAAAGTTAATTAAAAAAAAAACCAGAAGAACATTACAAACTATTTACAGTGTATTCAAAAGTAGAGTAGTTATACATAAATGAAAAGAATTTTTCACAATTTTGCAAATCTTTTGATATTAAATCAATAGTTGATGGATCTACTGGTTTTAATGGTCAAAAATGCAATTATGAATATGACCTTTCATTTTAATTTAAATATGCATTAAAATTCAGCACAAAATGTATAGGAAAAGATATGAAATTTTGTCATTCTTACAAATAAATCTCAAGAAAGTAAACATATATACATATACATAAGTACAATATGAATTCAATATGTAATTGAGAGTCAGGTCTAAAATGTATATGTCTTCATTTAAAAAAGAATAAATAAAATACAAAGATAAAGAACAAATATCAAATTTTCAAACTTTGGGTTATTTGAAAAATGTCCAAAAAAGGCTAATACACCAAGAAGTGAATAAGGAAAGACATATGCTTATCTGAAATCTCATTATCATTGCAAATGGCCAAGGGAATGGCCTGAATTTTGTTGAGATGTATTTAGCTGAAGTACATGATAATCTCTAGTGAGTAAATTTAAGAATTAACACAATTACCCACTGTTAAAGCTTTTAGATCAAAGAATATGCAACTTCTTAGTCATTAGAGAATGATCTTGTACAATCATGGTAATCCAATGAGATCAAGACAGATCCCTTTTTCATAAGCAACCTAATTACAAAAGTAAAACCTAGCTAATATTCATCCAAAACCAAAAAATTTCAACATTTAAAGTTTTTGACCTTGATTTAATTTTTTTAGATGATGGTTATGACAGCATATTACCAAAAAAAAACCAGCTTAAGACTTTGACAAATTAAGACACAGACAGATGGACATGTTGAATCCATAATAATCTAGTATACCCCTAAAATTTTAAGGGGTATACTAGGATTGGGACAAAGGGATGAGGGAGGGGGCACTATTTTGGATCTCCCTCTGAATTTTTTTTTTTACCTTGGAGCCCCATTGTATTTAGTGCTTACGTCTTATCAAATGCACAGTACACCATTTTATGATCTGACCAGTATGCTTCAATCACATCTGTTTCACATGGCAATATATTTGTAAAAATCAAGTCAAGTTTAGAACCAGAGTCATGAGTAATCTTACGCACAATTTGTTTACAGCTGAAGCCTTTTTCCATAAATGTTAGGAAGTCTGTATGCCCAGCAAACAAATCAAAATTAAAATCTCCTAAGAATACCAAGTCTTTCTGATCATCAATCAAGGGCTTTATATGCATACTCATATGCTGTTTGAAATCCCCAAAAGAGCAAGATGGATATTTGTAAATAACTACAACTTGAACATCTCTGCTTTGGTTTAAATGTATATTTACCATGATGAACTCCATGGAACCAGTGTTCAGCTTTGCGATGCAGCTTGTATTATAGACATTTTTCACATACAGTGCTGTTCCATGATATGGGCGCCTGTCCAGATTACATGTAGGCTCATGGTTGAATACTGCTTTGTATCCCTGCAGTTGATAATTTTCAGCTACATCAACATTACTTAATCTTGTCTCTGAGAATCCAACTACATCTGATGCAACAATATTTGGTTCATTTCGAATTTGTGGGAAGTGTTTATGAAGTGATCTACAGTTGTTGAAAGCAATTTTAAAAGAATGCAAATCGACCTGATATAATGGGACGTATGTGGCAACGCACTTTGAAAAAATTACGCACTTTGAAAAAAATTTTCAAAGTGCGTTAAAATTGGGACAATATCAACGCACTTTGAAAAAAATTTTCAAAGTGCGTTAAATTTGGGACCAACTCAACGCACTTTGAAAAAATTTTTCAAAGTGCGTTAAGATTCTACATCAATATAATTTACCATGGAGACACTTAACGCACTTTGAAAAAAAAATCATATTTTAGTCATGGAAAGATTTTATTTGTTATTTTACTTATTTATCTTTCAAAAAACTAAGCCTAACCCTAACCTCAAAAATGAATTGATTTACTCCTGTCGAAAAGAGGAGGAGACGGGTATAAGATCCCTCAGTCCAAATCTTTATCTTTCCAATACATAGGTGTCGGTAACAAACGGGGGAGGGGAGCAATAAACCTAAAAAGGGTACGCTGCATTTTCAATGATTATACGATGTATATATCTTTCCAAAATAAGTGGGGGGGCTTAGCCCCCATCCCCTCCCCTGGCCCTTGCCCAGTCTCGATGTCTATGCTATACTCAAAGCATTCATATAATTATGTATTTACCTAACGGGTATGACGTTGAAAACTTTCAATAATAAATGAATTAATTAAAACAGATGAAAACAAGAAATTTTTAAGTACAGTAAAACGCGTATGAGAGAGAAAGAATTTCATAGTTTTGAACAGTCAAAATTGCCCCTTTTTATTATGATAAATGCTAAGTTGCTTGAAGCTGTCCTCTGTAAGTGCCCTCTATACACCTTTACATCTACTTATCAAAGACTAGAATTAAAAAAAAGAAGAAACGAATTAATGAACTTAAAACAATCGTCACCCTTTTTTTCAAGACCCTTTAATTTTCCCTTTTATTTTATCAAAACCTTAAATATTTAAAACGTCAATATCTCAGGTCCTACTGTGACTTTATCATGAAAAAATTATCAAACCAGAATCTGTTTTTTATCATACCGATTATTTGAAGGAATATTGATCAATCTTTACATTTTTTTTCAAAGTGCGTTAATATGGTCGATATTAACGCACTTTGAAAAAAATTTTTTTTTTCAAAGTGCGTTAGCTTGGTCCCAAATTTTAACGCACTTTGAAAATTTTTTTCAAAGTGCGCATTTTTTCAAAGTGCGTTGTAACAGACGTAACAAAGTAGCAGCGGCACATCTTTTTTCATTCTTTCCATTTCCTCTACTACTTGTTCATCCATAGCCAATGCCTGTTCATTGAAGTCTAGGATGTGCAGATTATCCACTGACCGTACTCGACTTAATGCTACATAGTGAATATGTGCATTTTTCCTCACTCTAGTCTGAGATAAATCAATAACAATTTCATCAACA